CCCACACTGGACTACAGATGTAAACATGTATATAGCTGACACACCCACACTGGACTACAGATGTAAACATGCATATAGCTGACCCACCCACACTGGACTACAGATGTAAACATGCATATAGCTGACCCACCCACATGGACTACTGAGGTAAACATGCATATAGCTGACCCACCCACACTGGACTACAGAGGTAAACACACATATAGCTGACCCACCCACACTGCATGACAGAGGTAAACACACACATAGCTGACCCACCCACACTGGACTACAGATGTAAACATGTATATAGCTGACACACCCACACTGGACTACAGATGTAAACATGCATATAGCTGACCCACCCACATGGACTACAGATGTAAACATGCGTATAGCTGACCCACGCATACTGGACTACAGAGGTAAACATGCATATAGCTGACCCACCCACACTGGACTACAAAGGTAAACATGTATATAGCTGACCCTCACATACTGGACTACAGATGTAAACATGCATAAAGCTGACCCACCCATACTGGACTACAGATGTAAACATGTATATAGCTGACCCAGCCATACTGGACTACAGATGTAAACATGCATAAAGCTGACCCACCCATACTGGACTACAGATGTAAACATGCATATAGCTGACCCACCCACACTGGACTACAGAGGTAAACACACATATAGCTGACCCACCCACACAGGACTACAGAGGTAAACACACATATAGCTGACCCACCCACACTGGACTACAGAGGTAAACACACATATAGCTGACCCACCCACACTGGACTACAGAGGTAAACACACATATAGCTGACCCACCCACACTGGACTACAGAGGTAAACATGTATATAGCTGACCCACCCACACTGGACTACAGAGGTAAACACACATATAGCAGACCCACCCACACTGGACTACACAGGTAAACATGTATATAGCTGACCCACCCACACTGGACTACAGAGGTAAACACACATATAGCTGACCCACCCACACTGGACTACAGAGGTAAACACACATATAGCTGACCCACCCACACTGGACTACAGAGGTAAACATGTATATAGCTGACCCACCCACACTGGACTACAGAGGTAAACATGTATATAGCTGACCCACCCACACTGGACTACAGATGTAAACATGCATATAGCTGACCCACCCACACTGGACTACAGAGGTAAACATGTATATAGCTGACCCACCCACATTGGACTACAGAGGTAAACATGCATACAGCTGACCCACCCACACTGGACTACAGAGGTAAACATGTATATAGCTGACCCACCCACAATTTTTAAAGAAACAATGTTGAAACGTCCTTATAAAGCCGAGTGCATTTCTATCTTCCCAGGTGTATCGCTCTCTAAGTTTTGTTCCTCTGCTTCTTATCTTTCCCATCTGTTAATGCAGTCAATCTATCTGAACAAGCTTAATGTTAATTTCCGACAATTTTGATTACATATTTTCCATATTCTCATATTTCTTCTCTGTCCTCGATATTCTCAAAAATTCTCCCTGACTGTGATACTTTCAACATTCTTCTCTGTCCATGATACTCTTAATATTCTTCCCTGTCCATGATATTCTCAACATTCTTCCCTGTCCTTGATATTCTCAACATTCTTCTCTGTCCATGATATTCTCAACATTCTTCTGTCAATGATATTCTCAACATTCTTTTGTCCATGATATTCTCAACATTCTTCTGTCCATGATATTCTCAACATTCTTCTCTGTCCATGATATTCTCAACATTCTTCCCTGTCCACGATATTCTCAACATTCTTCTCTGTCCATGATATTCTCAACATTCTTCTCTGTCCATGATATTCTCAACATTCTTCTGTCCATGATATTCTCAACATTCTTCTCTGTCCTCGATATTCTCTATAATTGTCTCTGTCCATGATCATCTCAACAAACTTCTCTGTCCATGATATTCTCTATAATCGTCTCTGTCCATGATCATCTCAACATACTTCTCTGTCCTCGATATTCTCTATAATCGTCTCTGTCCATGATCATCTCATCATACTTCTCTGTCCATGATATTCTCAACATTCTTCTCTGTCCATGACATTCTCAACATTCTTCTCTGTCCATGATATTCTCAACATTCTTCTCTGTCCATGATATTCTCAACATTCTTCTCTGTCCATGATATTCTCAACATTCTTCTCTGTCCATGATATTCTCAACATTCTTCTCTGTCCATGATATTCTCAACATTCTTCTCTGTCCATGATATTCTCAACATTCTTCCCTGTCCATGATATTCTCAACATTCTTCTCTGTCCATGATATTCTCAACATTATTCTCTGTCCATGATATTCTCAACATTCTTCTGTCCATGATATTCTCAACATTCTTCTCTGTCCTCGATATTCTCTATAATTGTCTCTGTCCATGATCATCTCAACAAACTTCTCTGTCCATGATATTCTCTATAATCGTCTCTGTCCATGATCATCTCAACATGTACTTCTCTGTCCCGATATTATTTCTCTATAATCGTCTCTGTCCATGATCATCTCAACATACTTCTCTGTCCATGATATTCTCAACATTCTTCTCTGTCCATGATATTCTCAACATTCTTCTCTGTCCATGATATTCTCAACATTCTTCTCTGTCCATGATATTCTCAACATTCTTCTCTGTCCATAATATTCTCATCATTCTTCTCTGTCCATGATATTCTCAACATTCTTCTCTGTCCATGATATTCTCAACATTCTTCTCTGTCCATGATATTCTCAACAGTCTTCTCTGTCCATGATATTCTCAACAGTCTTCCCTGTCCATGATATTCTCAACATTCTTCCCTGTCCATGATATTCTCAACATTCTTCTGTCCATGATATTCTCAACATTCTTCTCTGTCCATATTCTCAACATTCTTCTCTGTCCATGATATTCTCAACATTCTTCTCTGTCCATGATATTGTCAACATTCTTCCCTGTCCATGATATTCTCAACATTCTTCTCTGTCCATGATATTCTCAACATTCTTCTCTGTCCATGATATTCTCAACATTCTTCCCTGTCCATGATATTCTCAACATTCTACTCTGTCCATGATATTCTCAACATTCTTCCCTGTCCATGATATTCTCAACATTCTTCTCTGTCTTCGATTTTCTCTATAATCGTCTCTGACCGTGATCATCTCAACATACTTCTCCGCCCATGTCTCTTTCTAACCAGGATATTCTCAACATCCTTCTCTGCCATTGATATTCTAAAAAATCTTCGGTGCCTACAATATTCTCAACAAACTTCCCTCTCCGTGATAATGGGGGGGGGGGGGGGGGGGGGGTGTTATAATTTCAATTTTTTCTCTGTGCACAATATTCTCAATTTTCTTTACATCAAAGATTTTTGAAACAATATTTTCAGATATTTTTTTATTTAATAAAAGAATACAAACTTGTTTGCATTTTTACAAAAACAGTAGTTTAATTAATCATTCACAAACATTTAGTCAGTATAATTTATGTAGGCTTTATTTTTGTTGTTGTTGTTGATTTCAACAATGCAATGAGCGCCGACTGTTCAGTAAACAATGGCAAATAGCTTCATGTAAAACCATAAAATGTCAGCAAACATCGGCTTTATTTGCAACCTCCTGTAAAGGGTATACAACTAGCACTAAACTACACACGCACACAAAACCCACATTAAATTAGCCAAGAAAATGCCTGTTCCAGTCTTGGCATTTGAAAACAAAGAAATAAATTTTCTGTGACACAAACAAACAGACATATCAATGTGTCTGCATCAAACGTGTATGATAACATCCCCAGCCTGCCTATGTCTGATATACACATGATTCTCTCCCCCTGACCTACAATATTACAATATGGAGTATGTGAAGGAAAAGTTACTAGTTGTGGTGAGCTGGTAAAACTGTACTGTTAGTAGTCTCTAAATCATTTGCTCTGTAAATGTTACCAGTAATGTGATGCTGAAACTGTAACTGCAACTATCTACAAGTTTTATGATGAAAACATGTTGCAACTAGTAATTCTATGTTCGTAAAAAATGTACTTCTTGCATGTTGAAGAAGTATTGCAACTCTTGATGTTATGTTGGTAAAAATGTACTTCTGGCAGTCTATATGCTGTATGTTGAAGAAATGTTGCAACTAGTAATGTTATGCTGGTAAAACTACTGCTACATCCTATATGTTATATGCTGAAGACCTTACTCCTAGAAGTTTTATTCTTATAAAACCATACTTCAAACAATTTATATGTTTTATGTTGAAGAAGAGTTATTATACTACTAGCAGCATTATGTTGGTAAAACTGCACTTCAAACAGTTTATATGTTCTATATTGAATAAATGTTACTATTAGAAGTGTTATAGTGAAATAACTGCACATATAACAGTCTACATGTTGTATGTAGAATAAATATTACTATCAGAAGTGTTATGTTGACATACCTCCACTTCTAATAGTATGTACATTGTACGCTGAAAAAAAGTTGACTACTAGGACTGTTATGTTGATAAGATTCCCAGAAGTCTACGTGATTCAAATCTTGAAACACAAAAATACTGTACACATGTAACAAAAACCGTTAAACAACACATCTGTATAATTTTTTTTTTAAATATGTAAAGATTATTAGTAAACAAGAATAGAGAGAAGCATTAAATGCATTACATGGGGCCTAAAACAAATGTATATTGTGTAACTCTTTCCATGATCTACATCACTGAGACTTAGGGGGGATTTTTTTAGGGAATCTGGCTTTAAAAAAGCTGCTGGACTTAAGAGAATACAGTTAATGAAAATATTCACACAATTTGTCACATTCACACCCCAAAAAAAAAAAAAACATTTCATTCTCAGTTGGTTGGAGACCCACTCAATTACATTCTTGATCTCCAAGGTTTCACTCAACCAGATTCATGTCACATGAAGTACCAACAAATCACATTCTTGATGCCTTGAGTTCCAACCAATCAGATACACTTGACTGTTCTAGTCCTTTTTACTGTGGAATGGATCAGTCCAAACTTTCATACCTGAGAGGAGAAAAAAAAAGAAAACAATGAAAGAAATAAGTTTTTGGCATGTCAAAGGGAAACACGAACTAGACAGCAGAATGAATATTGAAAGATCAACTGTAATTTACAGTTCAGGCATCAGAATCATGGCCTGTGAACCTTCTACAGATATTGGAGTGTCAGGATCAGATATTGGGGTGTGAGGATCAGATATTGGGGTGTGAGGATCAGATATTGGAGTGTCAGGATCAGATATTGGAGTGTAAAGATCAGATATTGGAGTGTAAAGATCAGATATTGGAGTGTGAGGATCAGATATTGGGGTGTAAAGATCAGATATTGGAGTGTAAAGATCAGATATTGGAGTGTAAGGATCAGATATTGGAGTGTAAAGATCAGATATTGGAGTGTAAAGATCAGATATTGGAGTGTAAAGATCAGATATTGGAGTGTGAGGATCAGATATTGGGGTGTAAAGATCAGATATTGGAGTGTAAGGATCAGATATTGGGGTGTAAAGATCAGATATTGGAGTGTGAGGATCAGATATTGGAGTGTAAGGATCAGATATTGGAGTGTGAGGATCAGATATTGGAGTGTCAGGATCAGATATTGGAGTTTAAGGATCAGATATTGGGGTGTAAGGATCAGATATTGGAGTGTAAAGATCAGATATTGGAGTGTAAAGATCAGATATTGGAGTGTAAAGATCAGATATTGGAGTGTGAGGATCAGATATTGGAGTGTCAGGATCAGATATTGGAGTGTCAGGATCAGATATTGGAGTGTCAGGATCAGATATTGGAGTGTCAGGATCAGATATTGGAGTGTAAGGATCAGATATTGGGGTGTCAGGATCAGATATTGGAGTGTAAAGATCAGATATTGGGGTGTAAAGATCAGATATTGGGGTGTAAGGATCAGATATTGGAGTGTGAGGATCAGATATTGGAGTGTGAGGATCAGATATTGGAGTGTAAGGATCAGATATTGGAGTGTGAGGATCAGATATTGGAGTGTAAAGATCAGATATTGGAGTGTAAAGATCAGATATTGGAGTGTAAGGATCAGATATTGGAGTGTAAGGATCAGATATTGGAGTGTAAGGATCAGATATTGGAGTGTGAGGATCAGATATTGGAGTGTGAGGATCAGATATTGGAGTGTGAGGATCAATTGGAGTGTGAGGATCAGATATTGGAGTGTGAGGATCAGATATTGGAGTGTGAGGATCAGATATTGGAGTGTGAGGATCAGATATTGGAGTGTCAGGATCAGATATTGGAGTGTGAGGATCAGATATTGGAGTGTAAGGATCAGATATTGGAGTGTGAGGATCAGATATTGGAGTGTAAAGATCAGATATTGGAGTGTAAAGATCAGATATTGGAGTGTAAAGATCAGATATTGGAGTGTAAAGATCAGATATTGGAGTGTAAGGATCAGATATTGGAGTGTAAGGATCAGATATTGGAGTGTAAAGATCAGATATTGGAGTGTAAAGATCAGATATTGGAGTGTAAAGATCAGATATTGGAGTGTAAAGATCAGATATTGGAGTGTAAAGATCAGATATTGGAGTGTAAAGATCAGATATTGGAGTGTAAGGATCAGATATTGGAGTGTAAGGATCAGATATTGGAGTGTAAAGATCAGATATTGGAGTGTAAAGATCAGATATTGGAGTGTAAAGATCAGATATTGGAGTGTGAGGATCAGATATTGGGGTGTAAGGATCAGATATTGGAGTGTGAGGATCAGATATTGGAGTGTGAGGATCAGATATTGGAGTGTGAGGATCAGATATTGGGGTGTAAGAATCAGATATTGGAGTGTGAGGATCAGATATTGGAGTGTGAGGATCAGATATTGGAGTGTGAGGATCAGATATTGGGGTGTGAGGATCAGATATTGGAGTGTGAGGATCAGATATTGGAGTGTGAGGATCAGATATGGGAGTGTGAGGATCAGATATTGGAGTGTCAGGATCAGATATTGGGGTGTAATTATCAGATATTGGAGTGTCAGGATCAGATATTGGAGTGTCAGGATCAGATATTGGGGTGTAAGGATCAGATATTGGAGTGTAAGGATCAGATATTGGAGTGTAAGGATCAGATATTGGAGTGTGAGGATCATATATTGGAGTGTGAGGATCAGATATTGGAGTGTCAGGATCAGATATTGAAGTGTAAAGATCAGATATTGGAGTGTCAGGATCAGATATTGGGGTGTAAGGATCAGATATTGGGGTGTAAGGATCAGATATTGGGGTGTAAGGATCAGATATTGGAGTGTAAGGATCAGATATTGGAGTGTCAGGATCAGATATTGGAGTGTGAGGATCAGATATTGGAGTGTGAGGATCAGATATTGGGGTGTAAGGATCAGATATTGGAGTGTGAGGATCATATATTGGAGTGTGAGGATCAGATATTGGAGTGTAAGGATCAGATATTGGAGTGTGAGGATCAGATATTGGAGTGTAAGGATCAGATATTGGAGTGTGAGGATCAGATATTGGAGTGTGAGGATCAGATATTGGAGTGTGAGGATCAGATATTGGAGTGTAAGGATCAATGTAGAAGTGCAGAGATCAGATGACTTTACTTCAACAGTAGAACTTTACCTCAACCATTGGACCTTATCTCAAATGTAAAACTTTACCTCAACCTTGGGACCTATCTCAAGTGTAAAACCTTACCTCAACCTTTGGACCTATCTCAAGTGTAAAACCTTACCTCAACCTTGGGACCTATCTCAAGTGTAAAACCTTACCTCAACCTTGGGACCTATCTCAAGTGTAAAAGCTTACCTCAACCTTGGGACCTATCTCAACTCTAAGACCTTATTTAAAACATTAGGTTTTTACTTCAACAACAAGCCAATGTTGACTACAAGCTTACCTCCAGGTTGTATCTTGTCCCTGTCAATGCCTTCTCTGCTGACACGCTGTATCTCATCTGGCAGAAAGATCAAGACAAACAATCATGACAACAATCATGAAAACAATCACATGTGTGACTCCCTACAAATTACCTGACTTGAAAAAAGAAATTGTAATCTGCCATCATGCATTTCTGTGACTGTCTGCATGCTTGTAACACTGTGAAGTTTCGTCTTCACTGAAGTGCTATGAAGGGATTTTCCTGGGTTTTTTTTGTGCCTCTACAATTCCCTACTTGGTTTAGTGAGTTAAAGGAAAGCAGCCTCTGTGGGTTAGGTGTCATGCATCTTTTTCTTCTTCAGCAGTCCATGCCCTTAAGGTTTACTGCTGCAGATATCACCTGCCTCCAATCATCTCTCTGGTTGATTTTCTCTTTCCAGTTGGTGACACCAAGTGTTTGCATGTCCATCTGGACTTTATCTCTACATTGTCTTCTTGGTCTGTGTAATGATTGCCCTTTTGTGTCTCCTCCACAATGGCTATCTCTGGTGCTGAGTTAACACTGGCTCTGATGTCTAGAGGTTCACAACTCAATCAAAGCAGACATGATCTTCTCACGGTCACACAACTTCTAACAATGGTTGACACCAGCGGCACATTTCACGAGTTTATTATCACGGTAGCACAATACACGAATCACAGGAGAATCCACTTACAGCATTCGGACAATAGACGTTGACATATTCACGGCTGGCTTTAACAATCAAACAGAGTACCATCACAGCTGGCCTTCTCGATCATTCATTCCTCGCCGATTCAGATCCACATGCTCTCGTCATTCTCCATTCATCTTCACAGCTTCAGATCACATCCTTTCTCTCTGGGGCCCAGTCACCGAATGACCGTCTGATTCTCAATCCCCCAGATCTCACCATTCACACTTGACTCACTCTTTCCTGTCGTTTCACCATATCTCGGTGAAACCCATGCTCTCAGGGACTTCCCCAATTATGCCAATCATCCCCTGACATTATCCCTATTTATAACATCATTACAGTCAGCCTATAGGTCTGCGACCATTCAGCGCCCTTGCGGATAGTTTTTACCTCGCGTCATCTGAAATTCTCTCAATATGCCCCAGCCATTTCAGTCTATCATCACGATAGGTATTGCGAATGCTCTTCATAATTCTGAGGTCCTGGGTTTGATTCCAGCTGTAGGTAATTTGGCACCAGACTGCCTTGCATTGGCTTTGACACTGGTTCGAGAGTCGGCAGTTTAAATAGCAATGGCAAACTACTGAACATAAAACTGCTTAGTGAAATCACAAACACTACACACACAAAATGCCTGGGTTGGTTCTGTAATGTCATGTAAAGAAAGGGTAACTAATGTTAAAAAAATTTTTTTTTAAAAGAAAAACAATTTCTTGCCAGTTTGGTTGACTTAATCTTCAGAAACTATCCAACTCAGATGACTTGATAACAATGTAGACACACACATTCACCCAACTGTCTTTACTGTATGCATCTACCACATCTTGTTCTGGCTAGTAAGTATTTATTTCCTGTATCCACACATGCCCCAGAGCTTCAACTGGTCACACAGACATGTAATTTAGAGCACTTAAGATTTTATATCTTAGAGCACTAAAGATTTTGTATTTTGGGGGCACTCAAAATTTTGTATTTTTGGGACACTATCCCTAAGTTTTTGCACTTTAGAGCACTCAAGATTTTGTACCTTAAAGCACTAAGGATGTGTATTTTGGGGGCACTCAAGATTTTGTATTTTTGGGACACTATCCCTAAGTTTTTGCACTTTAGAGCACTCAAGATTTTGTACCTTAAAGCACTAAGGATGTGTATTTTGGGGGCACTCAAGATTTTGCATTTTAGAGCACTCAAGATTTTGTTTCTTAGAGAACTAAAATTTTGTATCATAAGGCACTTCAGATTTTGTACCTTAGAACATTAAAGTTGTACCTTAAAGCACTCACATTTTTGCACCTTAGAACATTACAGTTTTTGCACCTTAGAACATTACAGTTTTTGCACCTTAGAACATCACAGATTTTGCAACTTGGAGCCCTAAAGTTTTTTGGTTTTTTTTTTAAACCTCAGAACATTAAAGTTGGGCACTCTTCCAAATACCGGTCCCAAATTACTCACTGTAAAAAAAAAAATCCTATTCAGGGCCTCAAGAAGTCGTATACTTAGAAATATGGAATAGGAACACTAGGCTTCGTGTTATTAAATAATTTAATTTGAACAAACTCTCGAGTCCGCTGGGTTCTTGTTTCTTTAACCCTTAAAAGGGCGGTTGGCATGTTATGTTGTGGTTTACAGCTAGGCAGCGATATATGCGCCCTTTGCCCCAACACATTCAATTTCAGCAGTCCTAATAAGTCATCTTTTACAGTCAAACATGCTTTTTAGGTGGCAGTGGATCTATTCTATTTTCCCCTCAAACATGTGGCCCTGGAACCCACACGGGGAGTCGCAGGTGATGTGAACAATGAAACTACTCCTCCCCATGGCTCCTAAACAATGGATCAAAATATGTTGCTACCCACGGCCTTAGCGTCTAAATATTGCTATCCATTGAGCAATAACAGCAGAAGTAAAAACTGATGATGATGGCCTAAATGTTTTTACTAAATAACCTGTTGAGACTCTCAAAGGGATGCTTTTCATGGTCAATAATTTGGGACCGGTATTCGGAAGAGTGCCTAAAAGTTGTTATATCTTAGAGCACTAAAGTTTTTGTGCATTACAGCACCAACGTTTTTTTTAATCTTAGCACATTAAAGATTTTGCACCTTAGCACAGTAAAAGTTGTAGTACCTTAGTGTGAACATTTTTTTTTTCAGTCGTACAGAATTAAAAGACAGTTTCAAGACAGGAGAAGCTTTAGAAAGCAGCTAACTTTTTTTCTGGTGGTGTGCAACGGTTGCAGTACCTGCACATTTCTTTAGCAATTGTAATAGGCACTTTAAGGGAGTAAGTGCATCTTTTTAAAGAAACTTTCTGGTCAGTACCGAGACAGAATGAGTAAACACAAGAGAAGAATAAGACAGGATGAGTAAACACAAGAGAAGAATGAGACAGGATGAGTAAACACAAGAGAAGAATGAAACAGGATGAGTAAACACAAGAGAAGAATGAGACAGAAAGTGTAAAGGAATGTGGGCACTTTTCTGAATACCGGTCCCAAATTATTCACTGCGAAAAACATCCCTTTGAGAGCCTCAAGAGAATTTGAAGTAAAACATTTAGGCCACCATCTTCAGTTTCCACTTCTGCCGCTATTGCTCGATGGATAGCAATGTTTAGGCGTTGAGCTAAGTGCCTTGGAAAGTACAATTTTTCGATCCACTGAAGCGTAATAGGGAGGAAATAGATTTTGATCCACTGAAGCGTAATAGAGAGGAAATAGATTTTGATCCACTGAAGCGTAATAGGGAGGAAATAGATTTTGATCCACTGTTTAAGTATTGTGGGCAGGAGTACCTTTTGGATCCATTGTTCACATTTACTGTGACTCGTCTTGTGGGTTCCAGGGTCACATGTTTGAGGGGAAAAAAAAATAATAGATCCACTGCCACCTAAAAAAGCATGTTGTGAAAGATGACTTATTAGGACTTTGCTGAAATCGGATGTGGCGGTGTAAGGTGCAGATATCACAGCCTAGCTATAAACCACAACACAACATGTTAACCGCCCTTTTAAGGGCTAAACAAATATTTATCACCCATAAGAGAATCGAAAACCGGTCACCCACGTGAGGAGGAATACTAACAAGTGTACTACCGAAGACTCGAAAGTTTAGTTCCTATAAAATTAAATAATAACACAAAGCATACTTTATAGTTTTTCTATTCCATATTTTAAAGTATATGACAGTCCGATCCAATCACCCTTTTTAACTCATCACTAAAGACCATTGATTCTTACCCTGAAGAATGGATACATGTTTATACTGATGGATTGCATTCAAAGCTACCATTAAAGCAGGTTACAGAATCTACATAGGTTACCCTGATGGATCTATTGGGAATTCTGATCAAATTCTGCTGAAATAATCGCACTGAAAACAGCAGTATACCACCTAAAGACTGTAATGGATGTTTATCCTTCAAAAGTCCAAAATATTGTCATCTTCACAGATTCAATGTCTGCTCTTCAAGCTCTGGAGGGCAGTGAACGCTGCAGAACTGACATAGCCAAGATAATCCTGGATGCTGATCAGCCTATTACTTCACACAACATCAGAATAGTGATGCAGTTGATTCCAGGCCATTGCGGCACACCAGGTAATGACAGAGCTGACAGATTGGCAAAGAAAGGAGCAACACAAGAACAACCACCTACGGCGACAACCCTCCAGACAGCAAAAACACTTATAAGAGCTATAAACAAAGAGACTTGGTTGAACAGATGGGCCATGGGAGACACTGGAAGAGAGGTTTATAGACACATGGTGGCCCTGATCCTAATGACCACATTAACCATCCAACAGGAAGGGAACAGGCCACCATCTTCACATTCCGAACACAACTTACTCCACTCAATGGACATCTAAACAGAATACAGCCACAACACTCCCCAGAGTCAGAGTGCCAGCTATGTAACTACCCCTACGAAACTGTTGACCATCATCTCTTCGAGTGCCCAAAACTCAAAGAGACTAGAAGAATGCTACTCCCTCCAAGACCAGACAGGTGGAACACCTTGTACGGAGGAAAAAGAACAGCGTGTGAAAACATGTAAATTCCACTGCATGGCATTGGCCAAAGGGCGAAAGCTCATGCGCCGCTGGATCAATAACAACAACTAAATGACCTCTTGAAATCCTGAATAGGATACTTTTAACAGTGAATAATTTGGGACCAGTATTCAGAAGAGTGCCGAAATGTGAGTATGTAGAAACAGTAACCAATCAACACATTAAATGATTAAAAGTTTGCTGGCAACGAAAGACTGAATTCTAAAATACATACATATGAAATATTAATATACTGATGTTTGCAAACTTTATGACCAGCCTTATGTTATGGTAAAGCAACCAATAAATTTTATAAATGTTATTCTTTACATTAGTCTATAAATTATAATGATTAGATAAGACAAAGGCACAACGTACTCCACGGTTTTGGGTCCATGTATGGGGCGATAATTATGGGATATGTGGCCACAGCCAGTCCCCCTACCACCGAACAAATAACGATTGTCGACCTCCAGCTCATGTTTAACTGTCACAGATGGCCCAATTAACTCTGCTAACTGTATCATGTGGTTCCTGCTTGCTCAAACTTTCGTATATCAAGTTATCTATTCTGTAGTTTCCGAGTCTTTCCTCAGTCCCAGTCTCTGTTCCACCTATTAAAGTAGTGTGCGCCTGTTTAAATTGTGAGTAGATCAACCGCCGTTCAGCGATGACTGTATCAAGTAGATTTAGCCCGTTTAACCTGTGTCTGTACCCGGTAGTTCCTATAAGAAAAAGCTGTAGCCAGTTCAACCTGTGTCCAGCGATCCTCTAGAACCTGCCCGTCGCACACTCGTCCACCTGTTTACATGGATGACCTTCCTTTAGAGTTGTCTGCCGCTGGCGGTCGACTTCCGGCAGGGAGATAATGCTCGAGTCCTGTCTCATCTTGATCATGGTCGAAAGATCACCAACATTGAACATCCAACCATTCGGTCCCACGGTGTTGGTTCCTGAGGTTCCAGGGTTTAAACAAAGGAGTGGGGGTGGAGATAGACCTACTGTCCCCTAACAAGCATGTCACAAAAGCCGACTGATTAAGTAAGTTTTCTTCGACCTCCTAGTGCATCTACCTGAGAGGCTAGGAACCAAGAGGCCTTAAGATATGTGCGGTTTGTTTATTAATTACCAGGCTTCACAGCCATGTGTAAAAACTGGCCCTATGTAGCATCCGATATTGCTTTTCCTAATATACAGTGACATGCCTTTATTGCATAAAATGTTCTTCATTTTATCAAATGCAGTTTTGGTCAGTACTATTGTGTTCTTTATCTATGTGGTACATCTTTTCATCAGATGTTATCCATGTGCCTAGATAGTTACATTTCTAATCTTGTCCTAAATTAAGCATCAACGGGCCGGGTTCAACCATAATAGGACTGTTTGCACATTGTCTTATAGTTAACAGCCAGGCTGCGATATCTAACCTTTCGTCCGAACATGTTTAATTTTAGCAAATCCTTGATGAGTCGACTTGTTTAATGTGCTCGTAAGGAGGCAGTGTTTTTACTCCCCCCCCCCACTTCTGTTTCCCACTCTGACAGGTAATTTTCCGCACCGGCTACCACCGGAATGTTTCTACGCCACTGCTACTAATACCACTACAATCACCATAACTACTACTGCTGCTGCTACTGCTACTATAACTACTTCTGGTAATCTGGTAATCCTAGTTTCAGCTTCATAGCAAACGGGTCACCCCACATATGCTCCGCTCCTGTGCCAACGAAAAACAAACGCAGCTCACAGTGTCACGCCATGCACTCAACTCAGAAGCTGGGCGACGAAACTACATCCTTCCAGTCTACAATTGGAGCAAAAATGCAACGGCCACCGTCTGGCCAAAAAAAAATAAAAAAATATTTGCCACGGCTTAAAAAAAAAAAGGGTGGCCGTACCTAGCGTCCATTTTGACCGGAAGAATTATATGAGGGTTAATAAACGGTCACCCCAGCACTACCCTCATTATTAGCCGGGGAAGGGACTTAGGACATTACATCCACCAGCAGGCGTCGCCCCTACAACGACCTGCCTGCCATCGTTAACGACTGTTCACCCAACAGCCATGCAGTTCTTTGGCACGAAGGAGACACCTTGAACTTGGGTTTCGTACTGCCGACTCCCTACTAAGATGTTATTTTATGTTCTGTTATGACAATTAATGTCACTGCACATTGGGCACACCCATGCGTGCTCAGTTCTCCGAAGCAGCAGCCACTCTAAAGTACTTCTACTAATGGTCCCCATAAGAAGCTGGTTATATTGTCTCCTTTCTCGGCCTCGAAGACGGCAAAGACGTGCATCACCATGCTTAACTCCCATGTCACGCAATCGAGTTAGTGTCAGGGATTCCTCATTCTCCACTAGCCCAGTTCGTACAGCGTTGACTATGTCTGCTCTGTCCATACTTTTCCCCGCAATCATTAGTGCAGTGCTTGCCAGTTGGTCTGCTCGCTCATTTCCCTTCACGCCCGCATGACCCGGTGTGTAGATCCAGGTTACGGAGGTTAAGTGTGATTTCCTGATGCTTTCTATCCATTCAGAGCGCATACTGCCTGTTGCTATCTTCTGAAGCATATTCATTGAGTCTGAGACAATTACTACCTGTGTGGCGGTTTGCTCGGATACCCATGCTAAAGCTCTAGAAGCAGCGGCTATTTCCATTGTCATGCTTGACGTGGTTGTCTGGTAAGCGCCGCTGTCCTCATGTATTGTTTTCCCCTTTCTTTGCGCTGTGTATGCTAATGCTGACCGTGATCCGCGCTTCACGGATCCATCTGTGTAGATGGTATCTTCTGGGTCTGAATGCTGTTCTATCAGTTCCCTTACTTCTGTGTCTACCGCCGCAGGAATTTGATCCCTGCAGTACCTTCCGAGTGTGATGACAACCTTAGAGATGCCATGCATGTCTACTGGTGTATTCGTCCATTCTTTTCCGTGGCTGATCACGTCTAGGTCACGTACCTGCTGGATTAAGTACTCAGCCTTTGCCATCCAAGAGCGGCCCCTTTTGAGACGCGTTCCTTTTGTGTCGTGAATAGCTTTGTGTAACGGGTGGTTAACATCTGCCGATTCCCTCATGTAAGCCTTGACCTGTGCCACTTTGTATCTGCTTGTCATAGTCGGCAGACCCAGGATATAACGCATGGCTTTGCAGGAGGTGTCTTTTGTGCAGCCGAGTATGAGTCTCATGGCCTCATTCTGTACTCGGTCCAGTCTTTCTAGCTGGGTTTTGCTGACAGTGAGGAGGCCAAGACCATAGTCAATTACGCTAAGCACAAGCCCTTGATAGAGAAGGAAAAGTAGACGTTGTTCAATATCAGCTGCTGCTAGCACCTTGAGTGCTGTCAAACCTTTCCTGGCTCTAAGTATGACGTTGTCTACGTGGCATTTGTATGACAGGCATCTGTCAAATGTCATGCCCAGGTATTTCATGGTGTCCGTTCTCTCGATGTCCACACCACAGATGCTTACGACTGGCGTTGGTGTACTCACGATGTGGGTATTCAGAGAGAACCATGTTAAGGAGGCTTTGGACGGGTTCACGTGAGCTCTTGATTCCTGGCACCACTCACTAAGTCTGTCTAGTTCGTGTTGTAGTGTGGTTGTAATTTCCTGCCTGTTTTTACCTCGACGGTAAACAAGGATATCATCTGCATACGACATTGTTCTGCCTAAGCCTACGCGTTGTGCACTAGTGACTCCTGCTGTGTACACATTGAAGAGCACAGGCGACAATGGTGATCCCTGGGGCAGACCCATTAGGACGCGTTGAGGTTCGGATGCCCATTCACCACATCGAAGCGACACTGTTCTTTCAAATAGCGCTGCTGCGATCCAGTTGACCAAATTTGTTTCTATCTGCATATCCAACAGCAGTCTGATGAGCATGTTGTATGGGACGCTGTTGTACGCATCTTCTAAGTCAATAGCGGCTGCAGCCGTTTCTATTCCCTCCTGGAAACCCCCATATGTGTCGTAGGCAAATACTGCAGCATTGCACCATGTATCTCTTCCTGGTCGGTAGCCACCTAGTGTAGCGGGGAAATGGCCACCCGAATCCATTATTTGGGTCAACGTTCTGGCAACGATTTTTTCCATGAGTTTTCCTACAGTGTTCTGGAGTGTGATGATTCTGTAGCCATTTACTCTCGTGTGGTCTTTTCCTGGCTGAGGAACCGGTCTGAGGTAGATGTGGAGCCAGTCATCAGGAATAGTGCCAGTTTTCATGGTGTTGTTAAAAATCGTGGATAGTTCATCAATATCTGTCGCCTCGAGGCTTTTGAAGTGGCTGTATCTAATGCCATCAGGCCCTGGAGCTGTGTCCGGACAGGTCTTCAGTGTTGCTCTGATGCAGTCCGTTGAGATGTATACTGTATCATCGACTTCCTCCATTTCAGCCATCTGGATATCATATAAACTCTGTCTCATCTGTTCCCTCTCTTCCCTATCTTTCTTTTCCGTCTGCAGAAGAAATCTGTGCAGGATAGCCTCGCCCTTGTCTTTATCCAATTGTAACACCACCCCGTTGTCCATCTTTAGCTCGGGCATAATAGAGGTTTGTTTGCCTCCGTTCATCTTTTGCTGAAGCCGCCAGAATTTTTAAAGTGATTTTTCATAACCTATTTCTTCGCAAAAATGTTCCCACATTGTGTGCTTAGACTCCTTTGCGAGTTGTTTAAAATGTTCAGTGAGTCTGTCTTTTTTTGTGTTTAATGTCTTGTTTCAGCTCCTCAGTAAAATTCGAAGACTTTCTGCATTTCTCCCAGTCTTTGGTGGCACCTCGTTTCTCTGTCCAGGCTTCTGCGACTTCAGGTGTCCACCATGGGGGCTGTTGAAAGATAGCTTTTTTCTTTCCCGGTGTTCTGCGTGCCCTGTCTCGCAGACGCCCAATTACATTAGGCTGATGTGCAGCGTACTGGAAAGTAGTGGCTGGTCTCTGATACCTTGTACAGATTGTTTGTTTGACCAGAATCCAACATGGAAGGTGGTCGCTTCCATGATGTCCCAGTATGCCCCACTGGCAGAGTGCACTCATACTGGAAGAGACCAGCGTGAGATCAAGGGCACTGTCAGTATCACCTTCTCTGTCGGGGATTCTGGTGGGTCTGCCATTATTCAAGCAGATTAAATCCGTGTCTGTTAGTGCTTCCTCCAATGCCTCGCCCTGCTTACTGAACTACTTCTACTACTACTTTTACTACTACCACTCCTTTTACTACTACTACTTTTACTACTTAAACCACAACCACTACGACTACCACCACCACCATTTTCAATAGTGATAATATTGCCACTATTACTACTGCTATTACTGTCCTTATAACTACTTATTTTACTACTATCACTAATGTTAAGCACCACTTCCTCCACTATAACTACTCCTACTATGGCCATCTTTACTTCCAATGACATTTCCCTGAACGCGTTTGGGTCAACCTGTGACTGACTGACTTACTTTCTACCCCACTAGGACATCAC